TTTCTCTCTCTCTCTCTCTCTCTGTGTGTGTGTGTGTGTGCGCGCGCACACACAGGAGGTATTTAAGCTGATCAGCACAGAACATTTTTGCATGTAGCCAACTAGTTGCTTCAGAATACCTCCCACTGTTTCGGCCCATTAACCCCAGCACAACAGCTTGATGAATTAATGCTTATATAGGCACAGTTGGCAGCTTCTAATTAAATAATTATGGTTATACAGCTGCAAAGAAGCTGGAATGTCCCATCGGAAAACCAGCTGTCAAGTTTTATTGGTCCTGAGAGTTTTTGAAAAAGAGAATTTTAGGAATTTGATGTGAAGGATCTCTGACCACTCTAGACTCTCGGTGTGGATTGCCAACATTCTCATATTAAAACATCCAAGAAAAGAGTGTGTGTCTCCCAACAGAGTCATACATTGTTACATAGCACGTATGATATAAATTATTGTCATCACTACAGCAACTGCTCAAATCACCTGCTGTTGCATAAGGCAAATTTGCATTTCAGATTTTGGCTAGCTGTCTCAAACTGTAAATGCAATGAAGGAGTGATCAACATGATCAACATTCTTAAGACAAGGGCTTCCTTTTTTAAGAGCAAGGTATCACTACACAATAGCCACTGAATACGACAAACAATCATTATAATGACTCCCACAAGCATTTTGCCAGCTTTACCCTGGGAGAAGCAATCTGAGTGAATGTTAACATGTGAATCCACAGAAAAGGTCCTGAACTGGGAGAGATGTTAGGTGTGGATTCAGCGCATCAACCACCACTGAGAACTGATCAGAGGAAGGAACTACTGCACTGCAGGGAGGGGGACCCTGCAGCCTTTAAGATGTTGCTGGACTACAACTCCCACCATCCCTTATCATTGGCCATAGGGCTGCTGGGAGCTGGAGCTCAACAACGTCTGGAGAGCTAAAGCTTCCCCATCTTTGAACTACAGGGTGCCCAGTTAGACCTCAAACCTTCAAGAAAATTATTGAGCAGTGATGGGATCAGGCCAGGTAATGTCTCAGTTCCCTGATCTTTACATTAAAAAAAATAAAAATCCGTTCAAGCCTGTTGGTTTGGTCTCTGCCTCAGAGCCTTGCATTTGGTCACATCTCAGTCAGCTCCTGTCTTGCTTGCTGTATACGTTGGTGAGAAAGTGCCAGGAGATGTGAAGCAAGGAGACCAGCTCATGATGATGATATGGCACAAGGGGTGCTATCTCCCAGCTGGGGAGCTTTGAGGCTGGGTTCAGCAACTCTGTGGCTTGCACCAGTGGTCTTCCTCCTCATGGTTGCTTCTCGGAGCCAGGATCTGACTTGTAAGGAGCCAGATCTATTAGTTAACAGCTACTGAGTTAAGAGCAGACCACCAGCTTGGATCCCCTGAATGGAGTGGACACAACTGTCCCCAGCATGCTGAATATAAGGAGCCCAACGGCTTTGCTGCTGATTTATTGAAGAAATGTCCTATCTGATTTTACCAATATTGTAAAGAGGCAAATGAACATAAGATTTCAGACATGGGTCAGAAAGAAAGGGAATCCCTGAATGTAGAGGAGGTGGGGGGGCTGTGTTCATGTGTGTACAAGATTTGTCAACTGAGGTACATCTAGTTTAAGCAAAGGTAATAGTCTCTCAAGGGACGCGGGTGGTGCTGTGGTGTAAACCACTGAACCTTGGGCTTGCCGATCGGAAGGTTGGCAGTGCGAATCCCCGAGATGGAGTGAGCTCCTGTTGCTCTGTCCCAGCTCCTGCCAACCTAGCAGTTTGAAAGCACGTCAAAGTGCAAGTAGATAAATAGGTACCACCCCGGCAGGAAGGTAAACGGCATTTCTGTGTGCTGCTCTGGCTTCACCAGAAGCGGCTTAGTCATGCTGGCCATATGACCCAGAAAAACTGTCTGCGGACAAACGTCGGCTCCCTCGGCCAGTAAAGCGAGATGAGCACTGCAACCCTAGAGTCATATGAGACTGGACTTAACTGTCAGGGTCCTTTTCCTTTACCTTTAATAGTCTCTCATGCACCTTAAAGAATGAGTGGTAGAGTTACAAGCCATCTGCATGGAATCTGGTAGCTTGCATATGACATCTAAACATTTTTAAAGCCTGTCTGTCAAATTGTGCATTTCCTTGACACTTCGGTGAGCCATATCTACACCTTTAGATAGTGCCAAAACTTTCTTCAGAGCATCATAAAATGTAGTTTTTCAATTCACTTAAGACAGATACACCTCATTTGATAAATTGTGGATACAAATCTAGAATTCCAATGGCTGATAAAAGCTAACAAAGTAGTCCCACCTGCTAACAAATAAAGAAAGTTGGCTGGCCATAGTTTGAAGATATCCAGTACAAAATATGTTCATCAAGAATGGTACACATAATGGGGAATCTATGCAGAATATCTAGTAAATAGGTTGAGCTGAAGGTTAGATCAAGGCATACAGGCTGGCAAATGAGACAAACTTTGGCTTATGAATAAGGCATGGGGTTAAAATATATATTGAAGGAGAGAGACCTTGTGGGAGTCAGCCAATAAGGGAGGTCCATTAACACAAGGGCTTATGACTATGCAATGGAAGTTCCCCTGCTTCTCCTCTCCCCACATGCCTCCCAAATCTTTGTGGGGGTTCTCCCAAACCTTTGGATAAATTTTCAAGAAGTTTGCAGAGGGCACACAGGGAAAGGGGAGGGAGAAGTTCCATTGCACCATCCGAAGTTCTTCCAGAATTGCACCAGTTTGTTGGGAACCAACCTTGGTTTTTCACTTGGTTCTAACCAGAAAGAATTAGAATAGCACCATCAGCAGTATGAGAGCAGGCAAATCATAAAGGCATCATCCATATCTTGGCTGTGTCACACTTCAGCATGAGACACAGTGATGGTTCAAGACGCCTTAGCTCTGGCAAAGCCCAAGCCTCCTTGGATATCTAAGTCTACCCTACCCAACATTTATGCAACGATTTGAGCCCCAGCTGCCTCTTCTCGGATCAACAAGACACCATAAGCAAATGGAACCTGTTCATAGGCTAGGAACTGTTGCAACTGTTCCCATCAATTATAGAAACACCATCAGGGTGTTTGGGTGTTTTGCTTTGTTTTAGCATGTTCAGTGGTTGGGCCAGCTCTCAGATCCAAGGATGGGTGTGCCAGAGGTTTGCTCAGCTGCTTGCACTGGGCAAGTGAGAAGGGAAGGTAGAAAAACTCATCTGTGGATCATGTCCTAATTGGAAAGGTGCTGCATTTCTCAAGAGAGAGTAGAGGGAAATTTCTTTGTGAGCTCTGCCTGATAAGCAGTATAAAATGCATTAAATAATTAAATTACATAGTCTCAAGAGCAGTTTTACATGTCATTTCCTCATATATCTTCAGGGGGGACTTCCTTTGCTGTATTTTATTTTCTTTCTGTTTCTCTTTTCTTTTATATCTGTCGTATGACCATTGATTGTAACTTGGGAGTGTGTTGGGGTGGGGGTGGGGGAATTAACAAAAGTCCAAAAGAGAGCGCGAGAGAGTAGGGATTTAAGGTCAAGCCTTAATAATTTCCTCTTTCAACTTGTGTCTGCTTTCAAAAAGTTATTTCTTCATGACAACAAACATACAGGCCAAAAGAGAAGTTAGGAACTAATGCACTGAGTATGAATTACATCAACTATGAAATACTAGTAATCTCTGATGTAATTTTAATCAGACTCTAACTTCAATCCTAAACTTTGGACAAAGAAGCAACTATGAACTCCAGCAACTTTCTGGATCTTTATTTTGCCAAAGCAAAGCAACTGTCGATAATAACAATCATACCAATTCCTTATTTCTCCCATTATTATTTTCAATAAGTCAGTGTTTTATTTTAGGAAGAATTGTTTTGAAATTAATTAATACCTGGGCATAGTAACGATTTCATTTATATCATAAACACAAGATACAGGCTCCTAACATATGCATCTCAGACTGGAAGCTCACATAATGCCTTAAATGTGAGTATTGGCACCTATTACTAAGCCTTCTCTCAATTTTCTGCACTACTTTTCAACATCAACCCTCATAATCGTCTTCCCTAGCTAGTTATGCAAAGTGCAGCAAGTCAATTGGATAAGACACTTCTACTTCACATTTTTCTTCACAAAACACATTTGCAGGGGACAGGAAAAACCTGGTTGTGATAATGAACCAATTGATCCTTCTCCTTTTTGAAGTAAAATCACAATAAAATACTGCAGCTACGCACACTGAAGATCAGACAAGGCCTTTTATATAATAATTTACAGAAGCAAAACTACCCTGGTGTGACCAGACAAAAGTGTTCCCTATACAATGCCAAAGCTTCAGATCTGAGTCCAATCCTCTGATGAGATTCCAGGCAGCAGAGTAAAATTATCCAGTTAGGAGAAACATTTAAATCAGAGTTACCATAGCAAGATGCAGTATACTCATTCTTAGGCATCCACTGTCTATTTCAATATATAGACCTTGTCTATGAAAAAGACCCCTGCTGAAAAAGAGCTAGGATGAGTAGATTTCACTTTTCCTTCTCTGCATATAAGCATATCAGCTTTATTCCTAGATGGCTTGGCTGGTGGTGTGCGATGATTACCAAACACCTATTTCCATTGTACAGTTTCTATCATTAAATCAGCAGCGCCTTTCCGCCTATATTGAATGAGCACTCAAAAATGCACACAAGATAGTTAAACTGCTGGTTAACTATGGCGGGATAGATGCATCTCTGCATGTTTGTGTGAGTGTGTGAATGTCTGTCATAGGTGCAGGGGAGGAAGGAAATATCAGCAGTCTGTGCTGCCCCCTAGCCAAGAACATACCACTGAATTCACCACCAGTGTGTACTCAAAAGACTTGCACTAAATACCCCCTTTGCATCCCGATTCAGAATGAAATTTCAGTTAGCAAAAAGGACACGGAGGCTTGCTCAAATCAGGATAACAACCCAGCTACCAAAGGAAACAGACTCCCAGCATGCATCAAACCCAAACAGTCGCCACATCAGATGTACTTACGATAAAAGACGTATTCCGTGTAGCTGGACCAAACTTTGTCATCAGTGTATTGATTGACAAAAGAAGCCGTGACTGAAGAATTGCAGGCCACCATGTGGAATCCACATTCTGACAACATATCAAAAGCCCTTTCCAGGTGCCTGAACTTCAGGTAGAACCTGGAGGTGTATCTGTCGGGAGCCCGGTCTGGGTCCCTGCTCTCATTCAAACTTTCTCCAAAAACTTCTTTGACTAGAGCAATCCTGCCGCAAACCAAAATCCGCGGGACCCTCCTGAACTTGGCATCTGCTTGGGTCTCCCGACCCATGGTGCACGACCCCCGGTAGCCAATGGTAATGAAGCCCCACTTTCGATCCGAGGGCATGAGTGACGACGGGGCACATATTCTCGTGTCACTGCTTTGGGAAACCTCCTCGTAATCACTATGGCAATAATCGTCGGGGCTCTGCTTGATCTCGTCCGGACTCAGAATTTTGACCAAGTCTGGCAGCTGAAAGTACTCAGCTTCCCTTTTGAGCCTCCCTCTTTCTGGAAAATGGTCAGGCAGGACCACTTGCTTGTCCCTGAGATAGTCCAAGATGTAGCGGAACAGGAAGCCATCTCTGTCGATGAATATCCTTCCCTTGGAATCTTTTGCAAGATCGTTGGCCGACTCTCTCTTGGAGGTGAACATTTTCCAAAGCAGGGTGTGGGGAATGCCTGTTAAAGTTGAGAGGCGAGTGAAATAAACCTGGCCGCCCACATTCAGCTCTATCACCTCTGGGTAGGATTGTGCAGCTGTTGCTTGCTCTCTGGGAGGGAGGTAAGTCCTGCAGTTTCCACTCAAGGCCATGATATTGTTAAACAAGCCAACCACAAGCTGTAGGGGAACTCGCACTCACATCCAAGGTTTCAAGAAGGCTCCTTATACCCACTCCCCCAGGGGTCTCCTAACATTTAAGGAGACTGGGATGGATGGGTGGGTGGGGAACAAGAAACAGAAATGAGGTTACAGGGTTTATTTCCCAATTGTCCAGAAATGGATGATCACAAAAACTGGCAAGGTGACTTGAACCTTACAAAAACAAAGAAATACGAGAATTGAAGAGGGCTCCCTTCACACAAGACAATCACATAACCAGATCTTCCATCAAAGCCCCAAACAGTAGGATCAAGCCACGTTTCCTTATCATTCACAAGCCTGTTGAATAAAAAGAAAATGAGAAAGAATTATTCCTCTATGCATGGGGGGGAAACCCACACTATTTTAAAAGAGTAAAAAGCAGTTGAGTTTTGAACGCTCAGCATACAACCTATTTAAGGTAATATTTACCTTGCTCTATCATTTTTGTTTAGGTTAAAGAGAGGTTGAAAGAGGTTTAAAAAACACATTCCAGGTTTGCACAAGCATCTCATTTAGATTATGCAAATGAGGGGATAGAAGCATTGAGCCTTACCTTGGTTACACAAATGCACAGTTCCTGCGAAGGGAAGCAATATTTCCTAAGCAACCCCCCCAAAAAATCAGCACTGAGGGTTGAATCTGGTATAGAAGCAAATCCAAAAGCAGGAAAGGGACTGGGGTTTGCAGGGAAGAGAGCAGCTCAGTTGGCAATATCCAGGCAGAACTTAACTGTTAAAACCCTTGCACAGGAAAGTTAACCAGGCTGGGCATCGGAGAGAAATGAAGCTGTGCAGCAATAGCTGAGACCAAGAGAGAGAGAGGCAAAAGCAGCATAAATCCCAGGTCAGGACTCTTTAGGACAGGAGAGAATTTCAGGAGGAGGACCTTGCTTCAGATGACTTGCAGAAAGCCCAGATAACGTGAAGAGCAGTGAAAGGCAGTTTCAGTGGCATCCCACAGTGGTACCCTCTCCATCAGGAAGGGCAGAGATCCTCCCATGTTCCCAGCCAGGTTGAGAGAGCACAAGCCTGCAGCAGTTTGAAGTGGAGTGGAGCGGGGATGGGTGAGAGGAAGAGGATGCCCAGGGAAGCTGCTTGCTCTCTGCTTTCACTACCCAAGCTGCTGCCTCTGGTTGCTGGGCTGGGTGGTTCCACAGTTCCCAGTGCAGTTCGGATGCTGTTGTTTCAGCAGTGCAGGGAAGAAACCATCCAGGGAAATGACTATTACATCATCTTAAAGGAATATGGCTTTGAGAAAGCCGAGCAACCTGGAGGGGGTGGGACTCGCGCGCTAGTTCGTTTCCCCTCTTCTTCATTTTTTAACGAGTTGCAGGAGGAGAAGCACAACGTGACGCTGCCACAAGCAGCTCCCCTGAACCAGCAGCGAAGCTCCAGGAAAGCTTATGCCGCTTCATCCACTGGGTGAAAAGGACCAGTTCCACATTTTGTCCCTTGCAGAGCTCTGTATTTGAGAGTATTTAAGTTCTCTCTCGTTCTAAACGCAGCTCTCTCTCTCTCTCTCTCTCTCTCACACACACACACACACACACACACACACACACACGTTCCTGTTGCACATTTTTCTGCCTTGATAAACTTGTGTCGCTCTGTGGTGCGATGCAAAATGAAACCTTATGGTTTGATTCCGCTCCCCCGAAGACACACAGTACAAATTATATGACATAAATATGCAAATCGAAGCTTTGATTTCCCCACACACATATACAGGGAAATGTCGCCCGTTCTACAACAAATTAACTCATCAGGATCTGTCAAGCAGAGCAACCAAAAATCAGGGGGTGGAATGGAAAACAAACAGAAAGAGGCATCGTGCAGTAGTAATAATGGTCTCGAAAAGTTAGGCAAAAAGTCAAATGATAAAGCACCGTAACCAAGTTTCATTGTGAAGTCTGTAGGGTCCTAAAATGTGCTTTTAAAAGCAGTAGCGCCTGCACCAACTTAAGTGCAGAGAATCCAGCAATTCAACACAGATATTTAGGAATTTATATTCTGCACTTTTCAAGGATGAAGTCGTTGCTAATTCTGTTACTGCTGATGATGTTACAAGGATTGGATTAAGCTGCCAGGTAATTTGCTTAAAGGCTTTGGCATTTTCTGAACAAGGTCTATAAGCAGCTTCCAAAAACTTTATTACACAGTGTGTATTTGACATGTGTTAGCTAAACATTTGTTGTAAAGGGGGGGGGTCACTCAAATCACACACTGGCTCAAAGTGTTTTCATGGGCTCCAGAAAACACAGCAACAAACATTATTGACGACGATAATTCATTAATTTTCTATCCCACCTTTTTGCCCAAAGGAAACCAGGGTGGTAAACAACACCAAAGTGGTAAAACAATGCATTTATAAATAAGATGAGACACATTTAAAAGATGTTAAAACAATTTCAAACATCTAAAAACATTTAACACAACTAAAAACATGCCCAAAAGTCACATGCTCTCACGGATAATAGTTTCAAGGCTTCCAGGAACAGTTTCTTTCACCTATCCAACACCCAGGTAAACAGGATTTTTAAAAGTTCTCCCTGAAGCTCATAATGAGCAAGACAGACACACCTTCCTAGTGAGGTTATTCCAGAGAGCACCACCCAAAAGGCCCTATGATGGGTCAGTGCCAACCAGGTAGCATTTACTGGGTGTTCTGCTACAATATATTGGGGTGCTTCAGCGTGGTATATAGGGCTGAGATTTCAAACCTGTGCAATCTTGACCAGGGACTTCAGAAACATAGATCTCTGTCCTAGTGAAACTGATAACCATATGGCTAAGAACATTCAGCAAATTGTGCACGTACACACACACACACACACACACACACACACACACAAACTTTTAGTTGCATTTAACTTCAGTCTTGCTTTGGCCATAACATATTTATCTGCTGTCGCCTCTGTAATAATTTTGCTCCAGCAAAATAAAATAAAACCTTCTGCTGGTTTTATTTTGCATGTTTACAGCACCACCTCATGGCCAAATGAGATGATGGCAGACTTTTTAAGAACATACCTTCTAATATGTAACCTAAATTTGCTGTTCTGTGATTCAATCCCACCAAAAAATAGCAGCAGTCTAGAAGCAACCGCTGTCTTCTGTGGTCATCTAGGATGTGTTGGGCTCAAGCCAAAAAAAGAGCACGAGCCAGAGATAACAGTCCTGTGCAAAAGAAAATATCAGCGACATAGATTGAGAAAGCTTACCATGACTGAGCTTGCTTCACTTTGACCTAAATCTGATTCCCTAGAAACTCCAGGTTAAATCCATCCCAGTTCATAAGTCATTACACCTTGGCTTGTATCCAGAGCTGTGCTTCTGCTGTCAGAAAGCCTCTTTAGCTTGTGGAAAGGCTGATTCTGATCCAAAGTAAGAGTGCTGTGTGAGAGAAAAATGACCCCAAGTCTAATAATAATAATAATAATAATAATAATAATAATAATAATAATTTTATTTATACCCCACCCTCCCCAGCCAGGATCAGGGCAGCTAACATCAAAGTATATGATACATTAAAAACATAAATCAAACAATCGATTAAAATACAGCTTAAAATCAAATTTGCAGCAGAATAAAATCAGATGGCAACCCACGGATTATAACTATAGGGGTTGGGAGCACTGAGTGATCACCAGGCCCAACTGTTTGTGCTGGTCTTATATGAGCCAGTGGAAAGGGTTAGGGAGGCCACTTACATACAGGGTCTTATAAAAAAAAAAATAGTAGTTATAGTAGTAGCAGTTGTAGTAGTAGTAATAATAATAATAATAATTTTATTATACCCCACCCATCTGCTCAGCCACTGTGGCTGGCTTCCAACAAAATATAAAGGTACAAAACATCAAACATTAAAAGCTTCTCGAAGCAGGGCTGCCTTAATTGTTCAACACTGACATCTGATGGGAGGGTGTTCCAACGGGACAGGCCCAAGGTATTTCATTTTTTTGAGGTCTTACGCATAACTTTGCACAAGCACATTCTCAGAAACTTTTTCTGGCCCAGCAGAATTCATGTGCCACAGGCTGTATCTCCCTTTTTCACCATGTTTCTTATACTGTTGCACAACCCCTAATACGCTTCAACGCTGTGCTGCAAGACTTTCATTGGCCCTTGTGCAAGCACTAGCCATATACATTTTCACCTTCTGGTCCCAGTTCATTGGACCTGAGTCATGATTTTAAAATGAATTAACTGAATTTCTGCATATTTACTGCATCAAAAGATGGAAATGTGTGCATGTGTGTCAGGGGTCCTTTACCTTTACCTTTTCTAGTCTTTTAAAATGTTCAGTAAGTGATGCAAAACAACAGTGCCCTCCCCCAAAAAAGTGGCTAGAGTTTATATGCATGGTGTTTGCATGCATAAGAATGGCTCAGCTTTTTTGCATAGTTTGGCTACGTAATTATCAGCGCTAGACATTTGAATGTGGTGTGTGTTCATAAGACTGAAACATAATTTATGCAAAGGCATGATTACTTGAAATTATTTATGCAGAGTTGTGCTTGCAGTTTACAGAGGCTAGCCCCTTTATTAAATTTAAATGAAACATCACAAGTAGTATAGCATTGTATTTTTAGGGGGAGGAAGCAGGGGTGCGTTCCTTATTAACTTCAACAGGCTTTTTAAAAGACCAAAGAAGCTGCTAGGACGGAAGGAGATTGCGGTGTGACCTGTGGCACTGAGTCAGAGGGGGTTAATCCTTCCCTGTGTCGTGCCATTTTACCAACTAATAGCTGGCCCACTTGGAGCAACAGCAGCACAAGGAGGGGACGGTGAAAATCAGATTGGATTAATGTTGGATTCTTCTGTTGCATATCATTAAAAATCGCCTTTGTACTAGCGAACAGAGAATATAACCCATAACGAAGAAAACACGTTAGATAAACAGACAGGTCTTTCTACCTAGCCGATCATCATTTCTTAATCCCAGCGGTTATGAGAGAGGAATAATGTCCATTAAGAATAACAACAAATTAAAAACAATTCAAAGGGTAAACAATTAAGTTCAAACCAATAAAACAATAGCAGAAGCCAATCTACAACTCATATCTGTTCCCCACAAAAGTCTAAGGGAATGGAATTTTTTAAAACTGGCGCCCGAAGATGAAGGATGGTGTCAGTTGTATCTCAGGGGAAGGGAGTTCTGGAGCTGAGATGCCACAGTTGAGAAGGCCCAATGCCAGGTGGGCTTGTCTCATTTGTGGGACCACAAGACGGTGTTCTCCACTGCTTAAGGCAGTGATGGCCAAACTTAGGTCTCCAGCTGTTTTTGGACTACAACTCCCATCATCCCTAGCTAACAGGACCAGTGGTCAAAGATGATGGGAACTGTAGTCCCAAAACAGCTGGAGACCCAAATTTGGCCAACACTGGCTTAGGGTGCCGATTAAATGATTTGAACATTTAAAACATTGATTTTCTTCCCAAAATATTAAAAGCCAGCACAACCCAAACTTACTCTAGTTGGTACCATTTCTACAGGCTATAGCTTATCTCCAAAGGCCACAGAGAAAACTAGTTCAAGGCCCATTTAAATTTAGTGAGGAGTGGGTCTCTACCCCTTTTCAGTCTCCCTTCTGTTTCTCCCTCCTTTCTGCCCCCCCACCCCCGGTTAATATTATAAATTGGCAGACTGGATTTGTTCTTTTTAGCTCAACTAATATTGATGCATTTTGTCAAATAATATTTATTTTTTATAGTGTAACTTATTATTGGATGTCATATTTCATAAAGTTCAATAAAATCATTTTAAAACAAAACCCCAGCTCACTTCTGAGAATAATTAATTGCAAGTAAGGCAGAGAAACAAAGAAACAAAAAGATTACTCTGGGGAAATGTTCTCAGAACATGCATCATGACCCTGAGGTTTGGGACCAGCCCCTTCTTCAGGGGATGAGGACGAGTACTAGGAGTTAGCGGGAGCAGCCCCAGCCCCAAAAACACTTCCCTGGTGCCAGTGGCCCCTCCAGCCCAAGGATGATGCATTGCTGTTCTCTGAATCAGAGAACCCCATTGCAGAAAGCCTAGTGAAACCAGAGTCTCCCTGCTACCCCAGTGGAGTAAAAGACTGCTAGGCCCTTTTAGCTGAAGAAGCATCTTTCCATGAAGGTAGAGCTTGCAGCTGTGACAGATCTGCTGCTCTTAGATAGAGCTCAGCCTAAGGCTGACTGGTACTGAAGCAACAGCAGAGCCTTGTTGTCTCACTGAAGAGGTTAGCTTTCACAACAGGAAAGCATACTCGATAGTCATTTCTATTTGAACATGAAATCTAGGAAACCACTGAATCAAGGAATTTAATGGATACTCAGAGTCTACAAGTGATACTTTCAATCAGGGGGGTGAATGCATCACTTTGATTTTAGCACAGTTGATTAGTGCCCATTTTACATCCATATTGCTATCCAAGTAAA